ACTTTACTTGACACTTGACTGACTCACGACTGCCATCCAGAGCACACGAGAAGTCCATCGAACCTTCGACTCGGCAAACCTGCAAGAAAGCACCACTCCCTGCTCAATACACAGTGTTTCGGGGAATTCACCCCTCATCAGTTGAGCTTGAGTAGGCTGAGGAAGATTGTGCCTGAAGAGCACCACTTATATAGTGCTCTCCAGGCACAAACATCACCAGGGATACAAACTTACAGAGACGCTCCGTTTCAAGCGCGACAAACACCTCGTGAACACCAGATAGCAGCGTGAGTCAGTGTCGCTCCTGGACGGTGAGACAGACGTCGAGGACCCTCGGTCATTCGCAACGCTGTCACCTCCAAACCAACTAGTCGCAAGCCCGCGCTGGGCACAACAGTACGAAGTAGTGGTTGCGACTTCGGCGACGATTTGTAAGAAATGGTTTGCTCCCCACACCGGAGCTCGCGCTATTCCGCCGACTTTACTTGACACTTGACTGACTCACGACTGCCATCCAGAGCACACGAGAAGTCCATCGAACCTTCGACTCGGCAAACCTGCAAGAAAGCACCACTCCCTGCTCAATACACAGTGTTTCGGGGAATTCACCCCTCATCAGTTGAGCTTGAGTAGGCTGAGGAAGATTGTGCCTGAAGAGCACCACTTATATCTACTTCGTAAGTATGTTCTACATAATAATATTATGTGTGTTCATGACGAGGAAGGATGTCCTGCCAACCTAACTTGCATCTAAATTAGTCTACCAGCTTGAGTTGTTGTTGTTGTTGTTGTTGTTGTTGAGTGCCGACAATGCGGTAGTAGGTAAGTTGGTAGGACCCTTCAACATCTGAAGCCACCTATCAAGCAGCATGTTCCACTGCATAATTATGCTCAATGGCTCTGCACTGGCCCTGCACTCCAAGCGTGACAGGCCACCCATTAACCCGAAACCACTGCTGGCGTTTGTGCAATTGCCGCCGTTGGCAATAGTGGCTGCATTACCTTTATGGAGAGCCTTGGAGCCAGAGAAGACGCACACTATTTCCACAACACAGTGCACTCCAAGTCTCCAACAACACAAGAGTGCACACCACAACAACATGACCAAAGTGTGGGCCGCGATGAGGTGGAACCAGCACCGTTGCCTCCCGTAGAGCAGCCACCTGCATCCAGCAAAGACATAGCTGGGGCTGTGTCCGTGGTGTCGGTTGCAAATGCGCTCACGGAAGAGGCAAACACTGGACCGCGACCAATAGACAGGAGACCTAGGGCTGCGTTTACACGACAACGATTGAAAACGATTTGCGTTTACACGACAACGAAGTAGGACCTAAACGGTACGAAATCGCTGCGTTTACTACTATCGTTTACACGACAACGCCCGAAAACGATACCTAAACGGAACGAAATGGAAACGCACTTCAAAGTGTTTTGAAACGTTTTTAAAACGTTTTCAAAACGTTTTCGTTCTCGTGTAAACGGTGAAAACAGTGAAAACGATTGGAAACGGAGCGCGGTCATGGAAACCATTCCGCGCGGGACTATTATTTCGCGGGATATACCTGACCTTTGCGACCACCAGCAGTGAAGCACACCACTTGATTACGTCTTTTGTACATAATTATGTATTAATATTTTGTGAATAAACTAAAAACCTCTACAAAGTGAACAAGCGTCAGTACGAGGAACGCCTCCGAGATAACGTCGCGGACACTGAAGATATCTCTGTGAAAGCTGACAAAAATAAAAAAAATTCTACAAAGTGAGCAAGCGGCAGTACGAAAAACTCATCAGAGATAACCAGGGATAACGTCACCACCAACGGACACTGAAGACATCATCGTGAAAGCTGACAAAACTAAAAACCTCTACAAAGTGATATCTCGATCACCTCTGCTATTGACCCCGCTCGTTTTTTATGATCCTTTGCTTATTGCCTCCCAGGGTAATTTCTATCTGAAAAGCCTTGCAACTGTCGGAGGAAGGCTGAATGCCGGCTAGATGGCCGATGTCACGCCCCCAACACAGTCTACAAAGCGCAAGCCACCAGTCATAACCTACTCAAGTACTAGTTCGGTGTGTAAGGCAACCCGTTCAAGCTGGGGTGCCACACTATGCCGTTCAGAAACTCAAAGTACCGAAAAAGCACTGGGCTGTCCAAGCACTGTGGAGGCGGCGGAGCGACAGCCAGGAGTACACGCTGACCTGGGCTATTAGGGACAGGGCCAGATCGTACAGCAGCCGAACAAAGAGACCTCTGCATCGCCGAAAAGACCAGAATAATCACCGCTGACAAAGAGAACCGGTTGAATAAGACAAGGGAGATCATCGGCAAGTGGCGACGCTGTAACAAGCACCGACTCATTAACTTCACCGCCATAGCGTAAAAGAGTAAAGTGTGACCGGCGGCAAGGGTGACCAGGACATGCATGCATGGATCTAACGCCTCCACCCTACCCTGTTATGCCCGAACTTTGCGCGCTCACGTCAATCTCATTAAAAAGATCTTATCTAATGGACTTTACACACCGCCTCTATCTCCTAACTCCCGCCTTCACACTTCACGCTTCGCGCTTTCTTTCTTTTGTGCGGCTTGCTGTATGGCTGGGTATACTAGTATCTTATAGTGATCCGTACAGCCCTTCAGGTTGTTATGTTGCGTGATGATTGCGCAAGCATTAATTTTAACTCCAAGTAGCAACGGATCTATTTCATGATGAGGACCGCTTCCATTGTGAATTATAATTAAAAGGGTTTGCTCCCACACTGTACTGGAGCTCGCGCTACTCCGCCGACTTGACTTGACACTTGACTCACTCACGACTGCCATCCAGAGCACATGAGAAGTCCATCGCACCTTCGACTCTGCAAGCCTGCAAGAAAGCACCACTCCCTGCTCACCCCTTATCAGTTGAGCTTGAGCAGGCTGAGCAATATTGTGCCTGAAGAGCACCACATAGTGCTCTCCAGGCACAAACATCACCAGGGATACAGACTTACAGAGACGCTCCGTTTCCAGGGCGCCAAACACCTCATACACACCAGATAGCAGCAGCGTGAGTCAGTGTCGCTCTTGGACGGTGAGAACAGACGTCGAGGACCCTTGGTTATTCACAACGCTGTCACCTCCAAACCAGCAATTGTAGTCGCAAGCCCGCGTTGGGCGTTGCGCGTTGGCGAAACTACATAATAGTTCCCGGTTCGTTTCTACCTGAATGCACTCCCCCTCCCATCTGCACCAGGTCCTTTCTTTAATTTCCCATCCCCTGTGCGAGAAGCCATCGGGAGCCCTAAAACCCTGATAGTCAGTGTCTTTCCTGTTTTCGCTTTATTGATGAGGTACTAGTACATGGGGTGAGAAAACTGGTAAGAGAGGGAAGAAGAAGAAAAAAAGAAGAGTAAGAGAGGCAAAAAGAAGAAGCAAACCAAAACTATATTATTGGAGTAAGAAATGGGAGAATTGTAGGCACACAAAGCATCATTCCACCCAATTGCTTGTAAAACAGCATCAGCGACGTAACTGTTAGCCATGTACAGTACTGTAGCATGTCTCACTCATTCATACCGTTGGATTACTGCATCACAGACAAAGTATTATGTACATGCAATTCCGAATGTTCATTAATGGACCTTTCAATTTCCTTTGTCGTTGGTATTGCCATGCTTTCTCTATGCTGTCGCCATCATTTGCATAGGATGTTATGCCGTTTTCACATTCGGGATATAATCGAATCAATCATCTTCACTCGTACTCCTCAGTAGGCCATCAATAGACAGGACACTGTTTGGAATAAAACGGGGGTTGGGTTCGATTCCTACTGCACATGGATACATTGTACTAACCTCTGTCTCTGAAATTGAGCACTCTCTGCAGCTCGGGGATCAACAGATTTGGATACATTGCAAATACTTTTGAGTTTTGACTTTTCAATATTATTGTTGCTCAAATTGAGGGTTGAATTACCGGTTGAAGTATTGACTCACGAGTCAGGGGACAGGGACGCGGGGCGAACGTGAAACGCACCAGAATACCAGAGTGCTGTGGGTAAAGCCATGTGGGCAACAGAACCAACTGATCGCGCCTACTGCAGCAGCTGAGAGGAGTTGGATACAATGTCATCAGCGTATCTTGGTGTTGCTACCTACAGCGACCCGAGCTGGCCTTCCCATACCTAACGCCTGTTTCACGCCCTATTGCTAGTTGTCTACATGTGCGTGTATGCTATTTATACCACCGTCTCCTGGCATATATACCGGCATGGTCGGCACCTGATCTTCATGTTGCCTGATGATTGCGTGAGCATGAAACTTGAAGTAGCAGCAAACAAGCCTTGATTGTCCTTGTTGTTCTGTTGTGTACGCGTATATAAAATCATCGCCAAATAAGTCGCTGCCTCAATTCCGTACTACATCTCAACTATCTAAATTCCTTACCCTTGTTATTCCTGATCCTAATCTTTTTCATGAGAGTCATTGTTTTCCCACAGGCTTATCCAATTTATAACTCCTTCAACGTTATGAATATCCACGTTATACATACTGAAGTATAACTTCTCATGCAATCATGAGAAGGGACTCTTTCCGAGGCCTTCAGACAATTGAACTAAAAAGAAAACAAACTACGTGTACAACAAGAACAACACCACAAGATTCCAACCGCAGCGAGCATCACGTAGCTGACTTGCTAACAGCTGGTCGCATAGCACAGGCAGAGGGGACATAATTACAGTGAAACCTGTTTAAGACGACCGCTCAAGGGACCTTCAAAATGTGGTCTCTGTTACCAGGTGGTCTCCTCATCCAGGGAAATTTGACTGGAAATAGCATCCCTTGGTCCTGGTTTTAGTGTTTTTTAGGGACAGGTGGTCGCCTTATCCGAGTGGTCGCCGTGAGAGGTTTTACTGTATGTTGATTGAGTCACGGAATTGGTAAAATGGAACAATTGTGCCTGGTTTACTAGTACTCGCCTGGTGCGGTCTCAGCCACAATCATAAACGTCGTTTTAATGTTGAGAATATGGCAATCAAGAGTACTAACTATGCGTTAACCATGCTTTATTACAATAGTAACGAATATGGGAGAGAAATGTTAATGGGTAATGTACATATAAAAGAAGAGGCCGTGTCCATAACTGAAGATCGTAACGCGAAAATGGTTCTGAATATTTTTTCTTCCTATTTGTACATTTCACATTCACATTTCTCTCTCATGTTCGTTACTATTGTAATCATGGTAATAAAGCATGGTTACCGCACAGTTACACTGTATTGTTTGAAGTCGACGATCTTTGTATAAAATTAATTAATAAAATCGAAGAAATCCTAGAAATCAATTACTCGATGGGTTTACATATACATGTACATGCATATGTAGATGCACAGGTAGAGTGATGCATGTAATCAAGTGACGAATACAAGTGTCTACAATAGCCATATTACACCAGTTAATATCCATATTAGTAGCAAAACTGGCAAACTCCATTACACAGGCACATACATGTAATAGATATTGTTTGTTCAAGCGGATCAAATTATTTCCTCAAAACAGCTGAGCTATTTCTTCATAGTGACGGTGTTGCGCTTTCCCACTGTGTTACATGTACATGCACGTGGATGCTTTCTCACAGACTAACAGAATCATGCGCCTGCTCCCAATTGGTAGTGTCCAAGTAGTCTGTAGGTTCTTCAGCACTCGTACTCAAGGCATTCCGGATTGCGTACATGGCAGTGGAATCCGACTTGCACCTTGCGCCAAGCTATCTCCCATACAGAGCCGCCAGCAGGTATACTCTGGAGTTCCTTTGCGTCAACATTGACACCACTGTGGCCGCTCTCCGGCTGTTGCTTCGTGCCAACTTTCAAAAGAAACATTTTGAGCGTTTGAAGCGGCACGCACTTGCAACTCTCAAACACAGTCCGATTAAAACCCTGAAAATATCCCGTGTCCTCTATACTGTGCGTGTTGTTGGTTTTTGTCGACTCCCCTACTCGCATGTATCCAGCCGGTATTGTGCGAACGCCGTGCCGACGAAATGGACAGCACAACTGTGGCTGTTTGCACAGGTGGAAGTGGGTGTTCTTCTCCGATGAATGCGTGGAGCGCTTGCAGTACGCATGTCCACCGTGACGACAACCAGTCAGAACTCCCCACTCATGCAAATCCACCATAACGGTGACGTTCTTGAATCCTCTTCCGTCGACAGCCGGCTGCGTTCGGTTAGGGGCATCGGTGATGCTGCGACACGATGCAGGAGGAGTATGGAATATTATCGCTGTGGTGGAAATGACCTGAGGCAAACGTAGATACGAAAAACAGGAGACACTACACCATTAGTTCGGTGGTCGCTGGTCACCGCCTGCTTAATGCAAAGGAGAGGGTGGCATAGTTAAAAAACGCATTTAAAAGGAGAGACTTTAATTTCATTGTATTTTTCGTTGCGTGTTGCTTTACGCTGGTCATATCAATAATTATTATTATAACGTATGACGTCCGCTACTTGCTGCATCTTCCAATTTCCGGTCGACGCAGCACCTGCATTAGTACAGGCTGGCTGTTGTTACTTCGAAGTACATTGTTACGTGCTTACCAACACTATGGGTACACAGATTACTGCGTGTGGGCTACCACTAATGTTCGGTACATGCTGCTGAGAGAGAGAGAGAGAGAGAGACTAATCTGGCTGCGTTGCCGCAGCTGGAAGCTAGCCCTCCCAATTACCAAGTGTCCACTGTTATGAGGACATCGCAACGTTTCAATCAGGAAAGCGCGCCTTGCAGCTGATTTTGCCATGGTCAGGATGTAAATGTACATTCCAATCTCCAATCACCCTGGGGGCGTCATTCGTTCACGGTGTGCTTGCCTTCAATGGGTTTGGTACTTCACACTTCTGAAACTGCTCCAAGCACGATTCAACACGCTTTTCGTACCCACCCTTTTGAAATACAATACAATACAATACAATACACCCAATGCTTGGCAATCACATTCAGGCCTGCTACCGCTGGGTCGAGCATACGCACAATGCACGATACTTTCTCTGTCCCTCAACCTAACAGACACGTCTCTCCTAAGTTTGCTTTGGTGGCCTCCTGGTAGTGCTACAGTGGTCATTCAGAGGAAGATGTATAAGGGACTCAACACAGGGTCTGATGCTTGCTAGGCTTTTTCGCATTAAAGACGATGGTGATCTACTACTGGACTTTCATGATGCACAATTAATGTTTTCCAAGCACAAGGCCCTCCTGCCGTCAACCCCATATGAATTCAATTTCAATTGAACAACCTTGGAAAAATTGAATCGACGGAAACAAGAACCAAGGCATTCTCTATTCGGGTCATGGATACTTGCAGACAGACATGTCAGAGATGCCCAATGTGCCGTAGGAAGCATCGACCTTCCCATCTTTATAAGTATCATCATTCTGACAATGACTCCAGTTTGGGGAGCAACAATCGTGTCTGACAATACTTCCCCATCATTGTGGTTCAAACCGGTGATCTGGTGGAAGTTTCCAAACATTAATGATTCTCCTGAACATACTTGAACTCGGATGGTGCGCCAATTTAATTATGGATAAAAAGGAGGACAAAATGGTATGAGTTATGATTCATGTCCACCAAAGTAACCGTTAGTCATAACTCCCACCATTTCTGCCCTTCTCCTTTTTATCCATGATTTTCCTGAATATAAGATTCGGCTGGAGAGCCAAGGATTTAATTTACAAAGAAAGGACCAAACAACGAATCTCCTGAATATAACAATTATTATCATCACACATTCTTACGTACCCAAATCAGACTCAGAATCTCCAGTGTCCATCTCCCTCGAACATAGGAGTCACCTGAACGTGTATGGACCTCCATCCTAGCGTTTCCGTTTAGGTGGTTCTGCTGAGCCGTTTAGACCAGGTGTAATCTTGATTTGCCCGTAGATATGTATGGCAGAGCAATTTATAGCATTTTCTTCCACTGCTCCGCTTTTATAGTCATCGATCTCGGAAGTTGTTGGTGATGAATACGACTCCAACTACTTTCTCATATGAAGCATTCATTATCCCAAGTGCTTGCCTGGTTACACGGCCACTCACTCCATTTAAACACATGCGGTTCTTGTATGGTATTAGAATTCCTGATGGAGTTGCAGCCTTCATGGCGCTCTATCATAGCACGAAGTAACTTTGGGCTGCCATGTGTTTGCAAGCGTGGCTTCGTGAGTCCATCGTGCAGCGGTGGACTACTTTGTCTGAGTTGAAGACCCACTTGTGGGAAAGGTTGCATGTGAATATCCACGCTCTACGCGTACATGTACGTGCCAGCACGTGCGTTCAATGCAGCAGAATGGTGGACATCTGGGGGCATTTCGGGGAACGTGTCACGTTCACCTTAACTATAGGCATTCACTGAGAAGAAACAAAATAAGTGTTAAAATGAAAGTACACAATGCACACTTACATGCACATGTCCATACATCGGTACATACATGTCACCAATACATGCCTGCACAATCATGTCCATGCAAGATGCTTTGTTCTAATTCTCCACACGGTCGAAAATAGGTCCCATAGAAACAGCTGATCGCGACTTAACCTTAATTGCTGCGTTCGCACAATGAAGCACTAGGCCATTGAGTTTGGACGGTCAGGACAAAGCCGGTTATGTCACGGCACACACGAGACTAGAGACATACCTTACGACACAAATTGGTTCCAGCAGCGTGCACTTAGCTTGTCAGTCTTTAGTGGTGTGAAATACAAGAGGGCAACTTACTAGACATAATTTCACTGACCTTTCCTGGAAGGTTTGGCGTGCGCAAAAATGTCACGGCGAGGTTGATTAATAACGGTATGAATCGGAATTATGCTGCGAGCTAGCATGCCATAGGGGCTCTCCACTGGCCAAACCCATCCGGCGACTGCAGCCATACTCTCTATGCTTACATGGAGACCACAGGCCATGCATGCCTCTGAAGACTGCTGAAAATATGATGAAACATTAAGCATGGACAAATTGCTAGCACATCGAAGTACAGAATACAAGGAACACAACTGCTACCTGTCCGGAGATCGAATAAAAATATTGCGCCTGCCACATGTCTTCCAAAAGTATTGGCGCCACCATTTAAATGCACAGGGTGCATGAATCCGGCTAATGGGGCCTTTCTCGGCACTTGCGCCAGTGGTTGTGAGACTTATCCACTCGCCCCACGGTTAGGCGCTGAATCTGCCGCTAGGGTTTACCGGGTGTTAACGACCGTCGTGAGTTCCTTTCGGAAGCGTACGCGCTAATTTACCTTTATCTATCTATCAATCTATCTAAATGTTTTGTGACTGTTTACATTGACCGCGCAGTGTGTTTTTCACGAAACTCGACATACTCGTGATCATTATGCTGATTCCGTCAACAATCAATCTTACCTATGCGCACAGAACAAAGTGTTTGAAAACCTCAATGCCAACACGCTACGTGTACTGCAGCAGACTGGCCACTTGCCACCTTCAAACAATAGCAAAAAATTTACATGAACTAGCTGTTCAACTCACACAGCCTCGTTTGCAGCTTCATTTTGTACAACTCAGTCAGTTTCATTGTTAATAGCTAGGTTCCGTCAACATACAGAACAGCCGGCCCATCCAACGCTACCATTTTGTTGTTGTTGTTGTTGATTTTTATTTTACTTCGCAAGGCCAAACGGGCAATGGTGCCCAATTCTATGAAAGCGAATTTCATAGGGGACAGAGCTACGGGGAGAGAGCTACGGGGAGAGAGAGAGAGAGAGAGAGAGAGAGAGAGGGGGGGGAGAGAGAGAGAGAGAAAGGGGGAGAGAGATAGCGAGACACAGAGAGGGAAGCAGTGAGGTTAGGGGCATCGGAGGGTGGTGACCGCATCAACGTGTGGTTGGGGGTAGCAGCGAAGAACAAATTGCTATGTTATTTAGTCTGATAAGCGGTTTTGAAGGTATTGTGGGATCTTCATAGAGTGCATTATGTTGGCAATCATGTCTATGAGGGTAATGAGGTACACTGTACAATGTACACGTATGTATTGTACAGGATGTTGTGATAAACAGTATCACCCATAAAGTGATCACGACTAGCGATACACGGTGTCAGGTGTAAAACAATACACAGTGATTCTTTGAAGTGGTGAATGTCGCACATCTTCACATACTATGATCAAGCCAATCCAAGTCCATTACATTGCATTCTCCTGATGATCTCTCTCGTGGCTTGAGCTTCAGAACAGTGTTATGACCAATGTCAGTATACAAATGATCAATGATGAGTTAGGTTGGTCTCCCGCAACCTTCCACAAGCGAAATCGTGGTCCATAGAGGCAGTCGGCTCTTCAGCACTGGACCTGGATTGTGGTCCCAGTTTGAAAGGGAGCTGAAACTCCCAGTGCCAGAGTGGCAGGCCAGGGTCATTAATTGCAGAGACCGCTGAGTGGAGTGGAGTTTGCACGTTCGCGTTATTGCCAGCTATGCGATTGTGGTGTGAAACAAACATGCAGTTAAGGTAGTTTCGCTTGTGGCGGGCCACCATCATGCATGAGAAAACACGCAGTGGCACATGCAGCACATAGCAGTGAGCGCTAGGCGCTAAGTTAGATCACTAAACGCAAGTATTAGGATGAGATCGACATCGTTAGGAATGGCATTCCACACTTAGGTCGAAGCAACCAGACTGGCATCCATCGAGGCACGGTCATTACCAAAATGAATGCCTGGATTCCCCTACCTGTGCATAATCTTCGGACCAGAGCACGTTCATGCAATATCGCGTATAGCTAAGAGCCTCTTAGTTGGTTTCCTTCCTCCGGGGCATTATCAAATTAATAGCACTGACATTCACAATCATTCAGATTATACGATCTCACTAACAGTGACGTTGAACGTGTCTAAATTACTGTAGTTCAACATAGCAAGAGCACGCTAGGAGTACATCTGCGCCTTACACAACAATTCGAATAGGCCTCTCTGGTGGTCAGATAAAGGTAGATTAATGCTGAGGTGCGCCGGGGTGCTTACTAGGTGTGCCATGCGTTTAGATCAATATCATCTCTATAGCATCCAGGCATGGCCGGTCACGTCGCCTCACCTACTCAGATCAAGAGTCTGAGACCATTCTATGGGATCTGTACTTGATCACATTATCTCTGAGTTACTCAACAGTCCTATATAATACTATAGACTCCTATTGTTCCTTAATTCCGGTGAATATCAGGGAAACGTGAGTGTAGAACTTAAGTTCCTTTCTTTTTATTATACTTGGATAATCACTCCGGTCGGTTTCATGCGTCGTATCCAGTACATGCGTTTCCATGGTCTCGTCACAGCTACCTAATTGCGTACATACATGTATGGGTATACCCTTATTTGGAACGCATACATGTTTTCACACATGCAGTGCACATGTACATGTACATGTGCATTGCATGTCCCTGTTGCTTATTATCACATAGGGAACAAACGGCACTGATGATTGCTGCGGCTTCTATGCATGGCTTAAGTATGCAGTCGTCTAAACTAGACCCGGGATTAAAAATAGATGCAGCATCCTCAGCGTGTCGGATGGTTGCGACAAACACAGGCTGAATATCCTTTCTCATGATGTCAGATGCAAGTCCGCCAGAATGATGCCTCGCGTCCCACCCACTGGTTCATGTAGGGTCAGTCTATGTTCAATCCACTCGACCACTGCTACGGGAAATGGCGTTATACCAGAATACACGTACATATACATGTGGGTGCGCGTGTATGTGTATGTGTGTGGTGTGTGTAACAGCAATAATAGCATTGAACTCCTAGCCTAGCTTGGTCGCTCGTTGGTCAGGCTCTTCCATTCGCCCCTATCTAGGGGAGAGGTTCATCGATTAGAGTTTTCAAGTTGGCATATGTCACACCCTTTGTTACAAGGGTTATCGACTTTGGCAGAGGCTTCTTTCTAGCGAAACTCGATCCGACCCAGTCAGGAATTGTTTCTTGATTGGAGTGACAATGACCCTCTGTGCACATTTCCTGTCGCACCGCGCGGAAAGTACCATGCCCCAGTGCAGGGCATGCAGACGTCTGGAGCGATGGAGTTGTGGAAGCATGATTGAGTAGGAAAACGACCACAAAGAATGTGGCAAAGTGGAAGTATGCAAAAGGTTCGTTCATTTCAAGGAATGTATTATGACAAAGCACACACAATCCTAATCATCCCTCTTTACAATTGTACAAGTACTTCGTACTACTGTAACGAACTCAAAACTCAAAAACTCAAAACGACCACCGAAATTGCATACATATACATTGTGCATATTACTACAATACTAGACCACACAGACTAATACACCTCCTCCTCAGACCTGCCCATCGCGGAAGCGATGATAGCGAACAGCTATGTTAGACATAGCAACTTGTGCTAGGATTACACCATTCAACAGCTTGCAACTTGCAAGGCTGATGAATTGACCGCCACTAATTTTTAGCCTGGTATCCACCACACAGCTGATTGAAGTGGCTTTTTCTGGCCAATGAACCCCTATTTTTCATTTTTCATTTTATGTCCACTACACACACACACACACACACACACACACACACACACACGCATATACGCACACACACGCATACAATCATGTACATGTGCATGTATACGCACGCACATCCAAAGCAACCACCGGACGTGCCATCTTGAGAACTCCCTCAGACCAATAAACAAATCAAAAAACCTCTTGTACGGGCAAAGCAAATGTGCTTACATATTACACAAAATCTCAATACAAAAAATGAACAAAACGCCAAGAATCTGAAGAAAGAGACTCAATCCAATCCTTTGTTGCCATAACGGGAACTGAAACCCAACACAAATCTGAGAAGATGGCAAGTACAGACAGTTGGCAGTCACGCGGCAACAAAATCACCAAACGTAAGCACTAACAATGTTG